GTGCTGCTTATTGTTGTTGTGTGTCTTCAAGTCAAAGCATTTTAAAGTCCAGGAAATAAAAATTAAATTACATTAGCAACAGCATAGTGTAGTGGTTTTGAATGCTCGACTACAACTCTGGAGACCAGGGTTCGATTCCCAGCTCAGCCACGGAAATTCATTGGGTGACCTTGGGCAAGTCACACTCTCTCAGCCTCAGGTGAAGACAAAGACAAACTCCCTCTGAACAAATATTGTCCAGAAAAACCCCTTGATAGCGTCACCTTAGGATCGCCATAAGTCAGAAACTACTTGAAGGCACACAACAGCAATAAGCAACACTTCCTTTGAGATTCAGCATGTTTCAGGGTTCCCTGGATATGTAGCTGATCGGTTGATTCGGAAAAAGTGGCTTCTGATTGGCAGCACTTGGGATGTGTAGGTTTTTGTACCTCCATCCCTATGCAGGTACATCTCAGGCTACATCTGCACTGCAGAAATACTGCATTTTGACACTGCTTTAACTGCTATGGCTCAGTGCTATAGATTTCCAGGATTTATAATTTATTGTGGCACCAAAGGTCCCTGACAGGGAAGGTGAAATATCTCACAAAACTACAGATCCCAGAATTCCATAGCCTTGAGCCATGACAGGTTAAAGCTGTGTCAAACTCCATTAAATCTGCATTGTGGATCCATCCTTAGTTAACAAAGATGTGTTCGTTGGGCATTACTTCTTTAGCAGAAAAAATGATTTGTTGTTGTTATCCACCCTCAAGTCGGTTTCGATCCATGGATGAGAGATCTCTAAGACCCCCTTTCTTCCATTGCTCTGCTTAGTTCCTGCAAATTCATACCCATGACCTCTTTTATAGAGCCCAGACTTTCTCTCTTCCTGCTTCCCTCCACTTTTCCCAGCATTATTGCCTTTTCCAAAGAGTCCTCTCTTCTCATGATGTGTCCAAAGTACGACAGCCTCAGTTTGGTCATCTTGGCTTCCAGGGAGGTTTCCAGCTTGATCTGTTCTAGGACCCATTTGTTTGTCCTTTTGGCTGTCCATGGGATCCTCAGCACTCTTCTCCAGCACCACATTATCTCAAATGCATTGATTTTCCTCCTATCTTCTTTCTTAACTGTCCAGCTCTCACATTCATACATGGTAACAGGGAATCCAATGGCTTGTACAATCTAACTTTCCAGCTCTGTTGTATATCTTTGCATTTTAGGATCTTTTCTAGTTCTTTCACAGCTGCCCCTCATTGATAGTCTTCTTATGATTTCTTGACTGAAGTCCTTGCTCCAATCAATGTTTGATTCCAGATATTAGAATTCTTTTGTTATTTCTATTTCCTCATTGTCTAGGTTGAATTTGTGTAGCTTCTCCATGGCCATTACGTTTGTTTTCTTTATGTTCAACCATAGGCCTGCCTTTTGCACTTGATTTTCCATAGTGATTGCTCTAGATCTATGAGGTTTTCTGCTAGTATTATGGTGTCATCTGCATATCTCAGATAGTTGATATTTCTTCCTCCTATCTTCACTCCTCCCTCTTCCATGTCCAAGCCTGGTTTCCTTACAATATGTTCTGCATCTAAGTTGAATAGGTAGGGTGATAGGATGCAGCCTTGTCTGACTCCTTTGCCAATTGGGAATCATTTTGTTTCTCCGTGTTTTCTTCTGACAGTAGCCTCTTGTCCTGAGTACAGATTCCTCATCTGGACTATCAAATGTGTTGGCACTCCCATGTCTTCAAGGGCGTTCCATAGCCTTTCATGATCTGTGCAGTCAAGGGCTTTGCTATAGTCTATAAATCACATGCTGATTTTCCTTTGGCACTTCCTGCTATGCTCCATTAGCCACCGTATGTTTGGTATCAGAGGCAAAAATAAAATGGAGAGCATAAAAGAAAAGAAGAGTAGCCCAACATGCTCCACCAGACAATTTCTTAAATATTAAACAGAATGTACTTGTGAAATAAAACAACCAAACCTTGTGTAAGTAAACAAAAGCATTTTGAACCTTCTAGAGACTGCTTGAAGGCTTCTTCCAAAATGCATCCAAGGATGATGTTTTCTTTCACCAGCCTCCACTTTCCATGCAATGTTCATTTTGTTGTCCAAAAGTACAGATCCATGCTTTTAAAAACATGCTGGTGCGGCGGGGTGTAAAACACAATTGAACAAAAGGCGGCTGTTCTAGAAAAAGGGCCGGGGCAGAAAACCATTCAGAGTGCATGGATCCAAATAAACTCTGCCTAAAATTGGATCTGTTATTAAGAGGTGTGGAGCATCCACCCAAAGTGACAGATTTTGAGTTCCATTAAAGGACAGCAAGTCAGTAGTTGCTTAATTTATTGTAAGTGGGCGATGAAAGGGACAGAGAGGTACAAGGAGATTTTTCTTCTAGTGGTCCAAAAAATTTGTGGTGGTTTGAAATGATTCCTTGTCATTGACTTTGTTCTCAAGGTGATAGAGAGGCAGAAACCATTTATAAAAAGAAACCCCGTTGTCTACTTAGAACGATGATTTCTAAACTTTGGCCCTGCAAGTGTTTCGAACTTCAACTTCCAGAGGCACCGGCCACTTTGGCCAACAGTCAGGATTTTTGGGGACCTGAAGTCCAAAAACATGGATGGCCAAGGTTGGAACCACTCTCTTAGACTATCGCTCTTAATAGAGGGCTATTAATGTCATGCCAGAGGGCTTCAGCCAGCTCTACATTTCTAATTATGGCATTATGGGCATAGTAGTGGCACTATGTTAATGGTAGTGGGTGAGAGCCAACATGGTAGTTTGAGTGTTGGACTGTGATCAGGGTTTGATTCCCTGTTTGAGCATGAAACCCCACTGGGTGACCTTGGGCAAGTCACACTTTCTCAGCCTGAGAAGATGGCAGTGGCAAACCTCCTCTGAAGACACTTGCCAAGAAAACCCTCTAATAGGGTCGCCATGAGTAAAAAAATAAATTGCTTGGAGACACACAACAACAAGAAGTGGTAGCACTTTTCCTAGGACCATGGAGCCAGAGAAGGCAGACAAAGGGCCTTTGCAGACTGCCAGAAATAGTGCAAATTGAGTCCACTTTAAATTGAGGCACTGTCCTGGCTCAGTGCTAGGGAATTATGGGAACTGTAATTTATTGTGGCACCAGAGCTCTCTGACAGAGAAGGCTCAATGTCTCAGAAAAAAATATAATTCCCATTACTCCCTAGCACTGAGCCAGGGCAGTACCTCAATTTAAAGTGGACTCAATTTGCACTATTTCTGGCAGTCTGCAAAGGCCCAAAATCTGTTTGATCTGAACAGCCTGTTCATACAATGCCTGATTTCCTTTTTTTAAAAATAATAATTTGTTATGTTATAAATTGTAAAATACAATATTAAAAATCAAACAACACCAAACAACTAAACACAATACTATTTTAAAAACCAAATAAACCTAATCATCTCAAAATAATCTACAAACCTAATTCTCCCCATCCCCCACTTTAAAAACACTAACCTAAACATAAACTAAATCAAACTAAACTAAACTAAATAACTACATATAAACATAAACAAAATACATGTAAACAAAAGAACTACCTAGCTAAACTTGAACTTCCCACTCTCCCAGGAAATTTAAAGCAAAATATAGGGCCTTTACAGACTGCCAGAAATAGTGCAGCTTGAGGCCACTTTAACTATCCTGGCTCAGTGCTAAGGAATCATGGGAACTGTAGTTTAATAAGCACCAGAGCTCTCTGACAGAGAAGGCTCAGTGCCTCAGAAAAAACTACAATTCCCATGATTCCCTAGCACAGAGCCAGGACAGTTAAAGTGGGCTCAAGCTGCACTATTTCTGGCAGTCTGTAAAGGCTCATAGTGAACTTTGAGAGCCAGCATGGCTTACTGATTTGAGTGTTGGACGGACTCTGGAGATCAAAGTTCCATTCCCTGCTGGACCATGAAACCCATGAGGTGACCTTGGGCAAGTCACACTCTCTCAGCCTTGGGGAAGACAATGGCAAGACTCCTCTGAACGAATCTTGCCAAGGAAAACCCCGTGATAGGATCGCCATAAGTTGGAAACAACTTGAAGGCACACAACAACAACATCATGAACTTTTCTAAAATACTTTTTTACTGCAAAGCCACTTCTGTTTTAGTATTCCAAACATCTAAAAAGCTTCAGGCTTCCCATTCTGCAAGCATAATCTTTTCTTCTTCAGGTAAAGTAAAAGGGAGTTCCCACTCTTTTAAAAAGGTAGCCAACGAATGCCTTTATGGCTGCAGCACATGTGGCTTTTCGCCGCCTGCTGCCTTGCCTGTCATGGCATAATTAGGCAAGACTAGTGCACCGACTATTGTGATCTATATTTCCTTCTCTTTGCAAAACTCAGAGGTAGGATACTTGGGCAGTTCTCCACTTAGGTGCTACCAAAGGTGACAGCTGTTTAACTTTTTAAAAAAATCATGTTTATTCAACAGACAAATACAATACCAATTCATAGCAATATTTAATTACTTCATCCAAAAAATAATATGAAGGGGGAAAAAGTTAAATTATATTGATAATATATCTTATAGCAGTTTTTTCCTCATATTAAACCTTTAATATAGTTTAATAAAATTCTATACAACTAATTTACTTCCTTCTTCTTTTGTTGATTGTTTCAATATAAACTTAAGATTCTTCATTATCTCCCAGTCTTATTACCAAGATGGTCCTTGTTTTTGATTAGAAAAGAAGTCCTATTGACCACCCATATTTTTAACAAACCCTGAGTTTGTTAAATCACTGAGTTATTATAACCCTTAAATCAATTAATACATTATTTTACACTATTACCAAATAAATATTTTTAAACAATATTACTCAGAGCTATCCATTTCTTTTTCCAGTAAGTTATTTTCAATTCCCAATCTGTTTCCAATTTTTTTCAGGTATTTATTGTTCACTAAATAAGTAAATTTATCCAGCTCTATCATATCTGCTAGTTTTATTAGCCAGTCATCTAAAGAAAGTGTTTCTTTTTCCTTCCATTTCTTAGCATAAAAAATACTGTAATCGTGTACCAGCTTAATTTGACACAAGTGATGTAGCTTCCAGGTATTTCCCAATAGCCATTCATACTTTATCTGGACAGAGAAAGAATACCAAAGATTAGACTGTGCAGATTTGGGCTGGCT